AGAGAGAGAGAGAGAGAGAGAGAGAGAGAGAGAGAGAGAGAGAGAGAAGATTCCCAACTTAAAGGGGCAGTAAATATCTTCAACAAAGTTATAGAAGAAAACTTCCCTAACCTAAAGAAAGAGATGCCCATAAACATACAAGAAGCCCACAAAACTCCAAATCGATTGGACCAGAAAAGAAATGTAGTCCCGTCACATAATAATCAAAACATCAAATGCACAAAACAAAGAAAAAATTCTAAAAGCAGTAAGGAAAAAAGGTCAAGTAACATATAAAGGCAGATCTATCAGAATTACACAGACTTCTCACCAGAGACTATGAAAGCTAGAAGATCCTGGGCAGATGTTATACAGACCATAAGAGAACACAAACGGCAGCCTAGGAAAACTCTCAGTTCCTACAGATGGGGAAACCAAAATATTCCATGAGAAAAACAAATTTACACAATATCTTTCCAGAAATCCAGCCCTACAAAGGATAATAGATGGCAAACGCCAGCACAAGGAGGGAAACTACACCTTAGAAAAAGCAAGAAAGTAATCTTCTTTCAACAAACCCAAAAGAAGGTAGCCACATAAACCTAAAAATAACAGGAAGCAACAATCACTACTCCTTAATATCTCTTAACATCAATGGACTCAATTCCTCAATAAAAAGACATAAACTAACAGACTGGATAGTAAACAGGACCCAACATCTTGCTGCATAAAGGAAATGCACCTCAGTAACAAAGACAGACACTACCTCAGAATAAACGGCTGGAAAACAGTTTTCCAAGCAAATGGTCCCAAGAAATAAGCTGGATTAGCCATTCTAATATCGAATAAAATAAACTTTCAATCAAAAGTTACCAAAAAGGATAAGGAAGGACATTTCATACTCATCAAAAGAAAAATCTACCAATATGAACTCTCAATTCTGAACATCTGTGCTCCAAATGCAAGGACACTCACATTCATAAAAGAAACTGTACTAAAGCTCAAAGAACACCCCACACTCAGCAATGGACAGATCATCGAAATAGAAACTAAACAGATACATTGAAATGAACAGAAGTTATAAACCAAATGGATTTAACAGATATCTATAGAACATTTCATCCTAAAACAAAAAAATGTACATTCTTCTCATCACCTCATTGTGCCTTCTCCAAAATTGACCATATAATTAGTCACAAAACCAATTATAGGCCTCAACAGATATAAGAAGACTGAAATAATTGCATGCATCCTATCAGATCACCACGGACTAAGGCTGGTCTTCAATAACAAAAACAACAGAAAACACACATACACATGGAAGCTGAACAACGCTCTACTCGTTGATGACTTGGTTAAGGAAGAAATAAAGAATGAAATTAAAGACTTTTTAGAATTTAATGAAAATGAAGGCACAACATACTTATGGGACACAATGAAAGCAGTACTAAGAGGAAAGCTCATAGCTCTGAGTGCCTCCAAAAAGAAACTGGAGAGGGCATACATTACGAGCTTAATAGCACACCTGAGAGCTCCAGAACAAAAAGATACACCCAAGAGGAATAGACGGCAGGAAATAATCAAACTCAGAGCTGAAATCAACCAAGTAGAAACATAAAGAACTATAGGAAGAATCAACAAAACCAGGAACTGGTTCTTTGAGAAAATCAACAAGATGGATAAACCCTTAGCCAGACTAACCAGAGGGCACAGAGACAGTATCCAAATTAATAAAATCAGAAATGAAAAGGGAGATACAACAGAAACTGAGGACAGTCAAAAATCATCAGATCCTACTACAAGGGTTGGGGTTATAGCATAGTGGTAAACTACTTACCTATCATGTGTGAGGCCTCAGCTCCAGTATTGCAAACAAATAGACAAGTGAAGTTAAATGAATAAAGTCAACAAGGCATACCTGAGACAGGGACCTCAAAGGAAGAGGCATAATGACCACCACCAAGCATATGTCATGGAGGGTCTACCTTCCATACTGAAGTATTTGTTTCCTCATCAGGGGACCAACGTCTGCCAGGACCTGCCCTCTGTCAAAGTCACCCCTCCCTGGAGGAAGTCTGTTTCAAAGGCTAGTGACCCAGAGGCACAAAGACCGTGTCCCTTTCTCAGAACAGCTCTGCCAGGCACCCCTGGCACACTGTCCCTGTGAAACCATCTGAAGGCTTGACAGGGGCTGCGGTTACCTGGTTCCTCCTCTCTCCATTTTGACAAGGCAGCGATCTCAGATCACCTCCCAGTAAACCTACAAATCAGTCTGCATCACAAAATTTGCTTCCTGAGAAACCTGAGCTGCAAAGCTTAGACTGCCTTTCTGAAACTCATCTGGCCGGCTGCTCAGAAGACGAGAATCTGGGTCACCGAGGAGATATTCATGAGCTCAGTAGAGGCTCTTCCCAGGGTTCTCTAGTCCTCGACACATAGCCAGTAAGCAGCCATTCGTCTCAGAAAAGGTTTCTCTCCTCAGTGCTCCGCTACACTTCATAGGCAGAAGAAAACCAGAAACGGTTTTCTCTCCCAGGACTCCACTCACCCTGTGAACCTCCTGCCAGAGAGCTTGTTTTCCAACAGCATCTCATGGGACATTGTGTCCATGCCTCATACTGATGGTGTAAGATGTATGTTCTGTTGGTGATGAGTGGATAAGGGAGGTAAGTTACATGTATGTTGGGTCACATGATATCCCTCGAAGGGTGAAAGACGAGTCCTTCCTTGTTCCTTCAGCTTATGTCCAGATAAAAAGATCATCTTGTTGATTATTGCTGCTGTTGCTCTAGTTTTACTCACTTTGTGGATTTTGGAGATAACCTATGCCACATTTGGATGTGTGTGTGTGTGTACATATATACACATACATACATATATAGTGCATTCATATTTATATTAATTTATAAACAAGTTATATACACAATATATAATACATAAAATATATTTTAAAATAAATATACTTATATAACATTACAGATTGTTATGTTTTTATATATTAATATTAAAAAATATATATGAGAAAACTCTGCCAGACTTGAACTCAGGGCAAAGGGGACTTTTCTGTATGTCCCAGGTGATTCAAACAGTGCTGAGATCCAGCTCTCTTGACATGACCCTATAGCAATGGATGATCTGGAAACCTTGGCTGATTATTAGACATATGTTATGTGATATCTAAGCCAGATACAATCTTTGTGTCCCGATGGTCAACGATGTGTGTAAGATGGCCTTGCATACACTCAACAGTTGATGGATAGCTCCCATTTGCTCAGACATTGGCAGGACTTTGAGATTCTACTGACTGCACAGTAAAAATAGGGAAGTCATTTGCAGAGTGCTGTGACTTCTGTGTAGAACGCACATCTAATCAAACAGTGCTTCGGGTTGATAGTTCTTCATTTTTTTATAGAGGATAATGGCCGATGCCATAATTGTGGACAGTAAACGAGTGTTAGATACATGGTGAGAATTTGTACAATAAAAACTGGTGATAAGAAATTTAAGGGGAACATGTGTAGAGTGTCCTCAATGAGATCCTGGAGTACTTAAGCATTTGGGTGTCACATGACCCATGTGGTTAGTTGATCACCAGAGAAGATGCTCTTCCTTTCATGACCACCCTGTAGCTAGCAGCTTTTGCCAGCCTCCCAAGTGCTTCTGCAGTGGGGTCATGAATAGTATGGCCATGGTGCCTGGTGTGGCTTCCTGCATCTGCTGATTCCTTTATCCAGGCTGATGTGGATACTGTCACTACCAAGCACTGAGGTTTCTTGTGGATGCAGCAGCAGCAGCAGCAGCAGCAGCAGCAGCAGCAGCAGCAGCTGCCTGAATCGTCCCAAAGGCGCATTAACCCAGAGGCACTGGACATCTTCCCAGTGGTGGCTGATACTATCACATGGAGGACAGTGATCCCTTCTTCCTGTGACATGCTTGGGTCTGTATTTGCCTGGTTTGTTTAGCTTCGTCCTGAAGCCCTAGATGGAAGCATCCTGAATGTTGGGCATTTTTATCATGTTGTCTCAACAAGATTGCTTCTGAACAAAGAACTAGAAAGCAAGACGGATGGCAGGTATGGGATTCACTGGTCTCCCAGAGGAGTGGACATCCTTTCAATGCATCCTGTGTATTAATAGGGTAATATTTTGTTGCTGGTGGCTTAGGACATTTCTGGTATTCATATGTTGTTCTAATAAAGCTTCATTTTACTCTTTGAGCCTCTGGTCTGGATAATAAGTTATATAGTAATAAGAGCTATAAAACCAGAATGAAAGGTTATCAGTGAGTTGCAGAATTCTTACAATGAGGCAATGCTATGTGAGCCAGTGCCAAGATAAGGAGTGTTTTAATCCCACTGCCAGAATAAATAAGTTTGAGAATCAGAGGAACAGAATTGAGAGTCACCCTGTTTTTCTATTATAACCCAAGGCACATGTGTGTAGCACATGTTCAGACCTCAGATTGCATAGGAATAAAAACATTTTCTGCCAGGATATAAATTGTGGTGCTGGCTAAGACATACTGTACATAAGGATGGGGAACCTGGTGTGGTGGTACATGCCTTTGATCAAAGCACTTGGGATAGAGAAAAGAGTTCTCTGAGAGTTCAAGGCCATTCTGGTCTACATAGCATGTTCTAGGACAGCCAGGACTATAGACAGAGTCTCTGTCTCAAACAACAACAACAACAACAACAACAACTATAGTTATCTGTGTCTATTTCTATATTACTTATATTTGAACTAACTTTTACTTTTTCCCTCTTCCATTTCTCCTACTTATATATGACATATTTTAGGTGTTGGGCGGCAAGTGGTGACGACTGGGAAGTGATATCATAACAAAATTAAAGGAGAAACTTATCCACTCCAGATGTGAACTTATTTCTACTATCTTGGTGAACGGACATAGTACCAATTGCCTTCTAAGTTGTGTATCTGTACCCCTAGATTAGTGAAGCTCTCAGACCTGATCACAGATGTTTGTTTGTGCAGTGGGTGACAGTGAACAAAGAAACTTAGTCACAGTGCAGAAAATAACTGTCTGTGGGGTGCTCAGTTGCAAATAGGACATCTATATCATATTTCTTCCCCTCCAAATCCAGAGACTGTTGAGGAGAGGAAGAGTCAAAGGGCAGGAAGTACTGTAGCTGTAACAGGCCCACTACACATAGAAACTCACAGCAGCTATGGTTGCCTGCATAAGATCTGTATAAGACCAAGCCAATCAATATTTCAGTACAGAGAGAGGAGGGGTTCAAGAGTCTCCATCTCTAAGGGAGGAACTATGGACAGCTGATGGTTTCAGAGGGAAGTAGAGCCAGTTTCCTTTAATGTATGGCTCCTGTTGGTTAACTACAGTCCAGTGGATAGACCCACACCCATGGGTATGCAGGCAGAACAAACTGGAATTTGTAGGCCATTCAAGGAAAAAAAACCAAGTCATGACTTTGGAGTGGGGTCAAAGGAGGAAATGGGGCTCAGATCTGGAAGAAATTAGGGATGAATATGATCAAAATCCACTGTATACATGAATGAAATTATTGAGTGAAGATATGTTAAAAATTTTTACATGACCATTTTAATAGTTGACAATCCTATGTAATGATTGTCTACATATTAGCTCTCAGCTCCAATTACATGGACTGAGCATGTTACAAACACCATCTCATTGCTGGTCTCCCAGGACATTCCAGGGTGCAGGCCACTTTATCTGACTTATCGGCTATCAACACATATAACCTTTTCTTTGGGATTATTTCACTCTTGAAGCCCAATTTTCTTAAATGTTTGTTATTTTTGAGAATCTCTTCCAGACTCTTGAACTCCTAGGATCAACAGATCTAGTGGACTTGGGCCCTCCGAGTAGCTGGGATGACTGGCTTGTACTGCCATCAGAATTGTCCAGATTTTCTCCTGACATTGGTAAGAGTCCCTTTCTGCTATGACAACACTCTTTAGCCTACCCATTGCTGTGCATCGGTTAAGCTGCCCATCACCTGTGAACAGAAGAGGCTCCTTTCCTTAAGGCTTCTCTGTCCTTGCGAGGAAGCATTCTTGTCCCTGTGGGCAGGGCTGGGCGATGTGCAGCACTCAGAACTCCTTCAGAAGGAAGTCCTCTCTGTTGATCTTAGCAACTCCCAGCCTCCATGGAAATACACTGGAGGCTTATGGGCATAGGAAAACCATAAATCTCTTAGGTTTGCTTTGGTCTGTCCATTAATCAGTCTGCATCCTCAAACTACCTAAGTGCTTCCAGTCATCAGTGAGGCTTTTAGCATACCAAAAGACACATATTTGGGAAGGAGGAGGGAGGCACTCACATAATGTTTGTTTGCCAGGTAACCTAGGGAAGCCCACAGGACTCAAAAGATAATGTCACATTGCTAGAGTCCCATTCAGTCATTACTGATTGATCCAGTCCACACTGTATTTTATGAATCCATCTCCTCTGGGGCCAAGCACATGGGTTCATGGGCTTCCATTTGCTCTGTTTTCTTATAGTGGTAGGTTGGAACCCAGGGCCCTGCACATGCTAGGTGTGATGGTTAATCTTCATTGTCAGGTCAGGCTGACTGGATTTTGAGTCACCACAGAAACACACCTTCTGGGACTATCTAGGAGGCTGTTTCCAGAAGTGCCTGACTGAGGATGACCCACATCAAACATGGCTCAAACAGTTGCACAGACTGGAGTCTGTGAGTGGAAAAGAATCGAGCCTGACCTCCATTGCGGGTCTTCACTTTCCTCTCGCTCTGCCGTTTCTACCATGGTAGATTTTACTCTCAGACTTTGAGACATAATCCATCCTTCACCCTTTATATGCTTCTTGTCATGTGTTTGGTCATGTCAATGGGAAAAGTAGCTAATATGTTTGTCAAGGGGACACAATACCAGAATGGAATTTCAAACTGAGTGATCCAATTACTAGGTGACATAAGATCTCCTGCTTCTATAGAGTGTTTGCTGATTGCTACAAAATGAAAAGCAAATTTATAAGTAATAAGAATAACAAAAATGAGATATTTAGATGGGATCAAATTAAACCAAAAAGGCAAAAAATATTATTTTTAAGGGCAAAATACCATTTTATTCTTACTTAATATTTTATCCTTACCTATAGTTTGGATCCAAGATCTTCAAGCGAAATACATACATTCCAGCATATGTTATGGACCATTTCAGACTGTTTTTATTAGAATAGTTTATAATCTCATATGGTTGGGTTAGGTCTCCTGGCTTCCCAATAGCATAAGAAAAACAAGGCTTATAGTTCTGAGTACAAACAAAGATAAAAAAAAGAGGTTATTTCCAGACTTTAATAAAATCTGATTCATATGATGTATGAGAAGTCTTCTGTATTTTAATTTTATGTGTCTGAGTATATTTTTTTTGGTCTGTATTCAAGTGCACCACCTACATATACTACCTGTGCAAGTCAGAAGAGGAACTCCAGGAACTGACATTAACATGTGCTTGTGAGCTGCCTTGTGGATCCTGGGAGCCGAGACTAGTCCCTCTGTTAAGAGCAGCCGGTGCTCCTCCTCTCCACTGACCATTCTCAACAGCCCCAGATTCTTACACATTCATTCTGGAAACATTATTAAGAGATACGATGGCTACACCTTTCTACTGTGCCACTGTAGTACCGGAGAATGCCTGGCACGTCCCCTACCAGCCCTCACCCATGGTTCAGAGAGGAACTTCTGGGGGATCCCTCACATAGACCAAGATATTCTTAGCTTGGTGAAAACTGGGATGTTAGGGAAGTGTGTGGAAACAGGGGCTTAGTTTGGTTTTCAGAAGGGATTAAGGCTGAGAATGGTGCCCACATATAAGTTTGCTATGGATATGGATATAGCCATAGTAGCAGGGCAGAGATCCAGCCCAGCCCATGTACAAGGTTGCTCTAACCCTACGTGGGTAAGATTGCCCTTGGAGAGAGAGACTACTGGGCTCATCTAGAGGTAGATGGGATTTCATCCATTTAGAAAGATGGTTACCCACAACTATACCTAACCTGGTAATTTGCAGAGACCCCCTCCCTGCAAAAGAAAATACAAAATATTTTCTGGGTTGACCCTGGGTTATGAGAATTCTTTGCATCTAGAAGTTTGCACTTCCATCTGTCCTGGATCGTGTATTATTTCCATATCATGGATGCTTAACGCAGCCAAATTCTGTCTGTAGCCATTGGATAGTAATGGTAGGGGTAGGGGTAAGGTAAGAGGTAAGTTTAAGTATAAATTAAGGGTAAGAGTAAGGGTGTGAGTAGGTGTAGGCTGCGGTGAAGTGGTTGGGGTTGGTGCAAGGATAGAGGTAAACATGAATAGGGTTAGGGTTGGGGTAGTGATATGGTTGGTAAGTGGTACTGGATTTATCTGATGGTGTTTACTTCTCGATTCCTTTATTTCCCCTACATTTTGAGGCCTTTTAATGTGGTGCTACCATGGGTATAGTCAGTCTATCTATCTATCTATCTATCTATCTATCTATCTATCTATCTATCT